TAACTAAAAATTTATTTTATTTATCTTTAAATAATATATATAAAAGTTTTTATACTTTTATATTAACAAAATTTTAATACTTTTCTTAAAACAATTTGAAAAATATTTTCAAAAAATATTTTTACTTTCTTTCTCTTATCTATATTAATTTATGCAAAACTTGACTTTAGATAATTAAGTAAAATAAAAAAAACAACTTTTTTTTATATTAAAAAGTTTTAAAAAAAAAAGAAAAATCAAAAATACAATATTGAAAGCCTTTTTTTTAAAACAAAGGTACCTTACTAATATTTGTTATAATAAAAAAATAAGTAAAAAATTTAAACTTTAAAAACTTTTCTATTTACTATTATTTATTCTTTTATAATTATTTAATTTTTTTAAATTTTTTAAAAATTTTGTTTATTTTAATTTGATTTTAAATTTTGAAATAATACAAATTTTATTGAAAATATTTAAGTAGTATAAAATATATTAATAGTAAAGTATAAATAAATTTGTATTAATTATTTTATATTTTTGATAGAACATAATTTTTTTATAAGTTTTTTATATAAAAAATATATATTTAATATATTATACTTTTATATTCTAGCCAAGTCATATTTGACATAAGACTTAAGAATATATATAAAAAAAATAATACTTTTTTTTTTTTTTTTTTTTAAATAGCAGGTGAAGTTATGCCATATAGTTTTTATTTAATTATAGATACCCTCTTATGTACACAAATTTAATTGCGAAAAAATATACTTATAATAGAGAAAAAACTAATGGCTCAGTATCTTTTAAATCCTGCGACTTGCTGCAGTCTATCCAAAAGATGAATATTAGCATATCATGACTCCACCAATACTGATATCTATATGAAAAAGTGAGCTAAAGTGGAAACCATTTTGTAAAATGTTTTTCATGTTTATATTAATAAGCTCTATGTACAGTTGATTTAACCTTAGGGTCTGATTCTCTGTCTCCTATTCTACCTCACTTTCTGGTTCTTTCTTGCTCTTTTTGTTTTTGTTTCGCTTTATCTTTTTAGAGATTCCTTGTGATTTTTCCTATTCTATTATCAGTTCACATCTCAACTTTCACACTTCTTTTTTCTCCTCCCAGAAGTGTGTCATGGCTATACGTATTGCAGTTCTTGCGGCCTTCGCATCTCCCACAATCTCTTCTACTACTTTCATTATTTGATGTATAATTGCTTCTCTTACTATATCTCTTCATTCCATCTTGCATGCCCTGTCTGAGTGTCTTGTACATGATGATGATTTAAGAAGTTATCTTTATCTATTTTATATCTGTTCTATTTGTTTGTTGCCTTTCACATTTGCTACAAATTCTTTTATAAAAAAGGTCATAAATTTTTTCTTTAATCTTGTTTTGTTGGATTCACATATAAAAGGGTGAATATCTCTCTCTTCCTGTCTCTTGCAGATTATACAAGTTGGGTACTTGTATAGATATGGCCTTTAGGTATTCGAGTTTGTTATTGTTGGATGCTCATCTAACCATGTTTTCCATCTGAAGGTTCTATCACTGTGGTCCTTGCAATCAGTTTGAAGTGATATTATTTTAGATGGTGTCAGTATCTATATAATCATGTTTCAATCTACTTCTTTGGCCTTTTGTTCGGATAGTTATTTTTGACTATGTCTTAGTGTTCTCCACTTGCTGGTCCATTTGGTTTTGAGAATTGTTTTTCCTAATATCTTGAAGGAAAGGTCAATAAAGGACTGGTTCCATCTTAATATTGTTATTGCACTGGTAGTATTTAGCTCCTAGATTTTAATTTTGTCTTTGGGCTTATCTACTATCATAGTCATTGCTAGTTTGTCTGCTAGCTCATTTCCTGGATTGCCAGAGTGGTCCTTAATCTTGATTCATGCTACTGTAATGTTTTATAATGAGATCAACTCATGTATTGTATTAACTAGACATCTATTTGGAGTTTCTAATGCTTGATTCCTCTTTCCTTATTTTGTTCTATTTTTTTTTTATTGCGTTGATTGTGTTTTGGCTATCTGTGCTAATCACTGTGAGTATTGCTGTCAACTCTATCCATATTAAAGATGAAAAAAAAAATAATACTTAAAAGTATAATATTTATTTTTTAATAATATTTATATTAAGAAATTAAAAAAGTTAATTATTTATATTAATTGAAAGAAAATATTAATATATAGCTTAATAAAAAAAAACAATAATTCAATTTTTCAAGATGATAATATTTTAGAAAAAATAATATAATATTTATCAAATTTAATAAAATATATAGTATATTGATTTAAAACTTTTTTATAGATCCTTGACCACCACTTCTAAAGAAGTATTTCTTTAAAACTTTATGTTTTAAAGTAATAAAACTTTAAAAACTTGCTTTAAAACTATCTGCTTTACTTAGTAGTAGTCATATTCTACCTTTCTTATTTACTTTTTTTTTTAAAAAACCTTCTATCTAAGAAATTAATGGCAAGAAAGCTTTTCTAGAAAGAAAAAATCAGATAAAAAAATATACTATACTTCTTCTCTTCTCTATGAAAGTTTCAAAGTTTAAAAAGAAAATTTGATCAATAATTCCATGTTAGTCTGGGAAATGAACATTATTATCACAGGCAGAAATAACTTTTCTTTTGGTGTGTAGTAGTTTTTTCTTGGTTTTTCTAAAGAATTTTGTTTACTCTAGTTTAATCCTGAATTTTCTGTTATATCAGATTTTGAATGGATTAATTGTCTAAAGATTGGATTGGTTGTTTCATGGTTAACAAAAATATAAATAAGGATATATGTGACATGTGACATGAATACATTTTTTAAGTTTCATAAGAACTTTGGATCTATTATAAATCATATATTAGGTATGCAATAGATAAATATTATATGGATTGTAATTTTCTCTTTTTTATTACTCTTCAAAGTATAATAGTTATGAAATAAATATTTCTCCTATTGGAATTAAACTTTAAGAACTTACTCTATTTATAAAAGGTACAATTATTTTTCTATTTTAAAATTATTCCAAGGTTTATTTTTTAGATCCAAATAGTTTTTTTACCCTTGCATAATACAAAATATTACTGAACTTATACTCTTTCTCTAAACACACTTGGTATTGGTAACAGGCTATAATCATCAGAATTATAAGAAAGATGTATTTCTCCTTTTAAGAAATTAGTAAGTCTATCATGACATGTTAGTTGTGAGGAATTAAAAAAAATTAAAGATCCAATAAGGAAGATCTAGTTGTTTTTAGATAATAGTAGTAGTAGAAATTTAATTCAACTGGATATCTTCAAATAACTAGTCACCTGGTAAATATGGTAAAGATCAGGTTTTAAGGAGTTTAGTAATATAAATAATATATAACTCCATGTAATAACCTTTGTAATTTTTGCATTAATTTATATATTATATTATCAAAGTCAATAAACATGACTAAGCTTCCATTCAAAAAAAAAAAAAAAAATAGTATATTGAATTTTTTTAAAAAAATAATATTGTTACAATAATAAAAAAAAACCAGTTTACTAAATAATAAGTTTTAATCATCTTTATACTTATACAATTTATAGTATCAATTAAACTATATTCTAAAATTATCTTATAACTTTCAATTTATTATTATTTAAAAAATATTAATAAAAGTTCTATATTAGATAAAATAAGAAAAAAAATTAGAATTGAAAAATAAAATGCTATAATATAGTAGTATTGTAAATAATTAAAAAAAAAGATACTATGATTAGGACAAAAGTCCTTAAAGAGTAGTCAATTTATAGTATTAAGATAATAATAGTAGTATAATATTTCAGATCATTTTATATCAAAACTAATTTTTTTTTCTTTAATATTTTTCTTGCTACATATAAAATTTTTTCTTTATTTAATTTTATATAATTTTTGTATTTATACTTAATCATATTAATAGTTAAGTTTTCTATAGTATAGATAGATACCCCATATAAGCAGACATATGATTTGAGATACACATGAACTCAAACACAATCTTTTTACTGTTTGAAATTTACTAGTTCCCCTGGTTCTTGATAGAATGCCATTAGTTACAAGTTAAATATTCCCTTGCAGAAATTATCCTATTGATACTTGATAAATATAATGGGTGTACGATATAATATATACAGTATAGCTTTTTCTTTCTTTCGTCACTTCAATACAATCAATAAAGTATGACTTCACCGCATTAAAAAAAAATTTTATATTTTTAAAAAGATGCATATTATAAATATTATAACTCAAGTGACGGATTTTTTCTCCTACAAATAATTAACCTAGCTCCGACTCGTTGAATCAAACAATTAGGACATTTATTTTGCCTAAACTATGATCACTGATATTGTTTCACGAAGCCTAGATAAATAGTCCTTCCATTGATCCTGAACACGGAGTTCAAGTTCAATTAGGGAAATCAATGATTTTCATACAAACTGTGAGTGGCTCTAAGTGATTGAACGAGAATGAAGCTTTCTTTACATTTACTCAATAGAAAACTTCAGAAATCGATCTACGGTGTATTCTTAAAATGCATCAAAATACAATAATTTTTTTTTTCTTCTCAATCCTTGAGCCCATTCCATTGTAAAACGTAAGACCTAACATCCTTTATTATCAAAGAAATTCCTGCATATATGTGTATTATAATATCATCTACTTCATTGGGACAAAACATGCACAGTTCAGAGGATTACAAACAAAAAAAAAAAAGAGGAGAGTGTGATAAAAATAGCGCAACTTGCTTTAAATAGTTACATGAAATCATTGTTACTTATTTTATCATCAATCGTGCCTTTAAAATTGAATCACCCTGCTTTGCTTTTATCGATTATAAATAGTAATGGTGTCTTTAAAAAAATTAAATGCATCATTTTTTATACAAATAGGTTTTAAATTTCCATTTGATATCATTTCCTCGTAAACCTCATATTAGTTATCTCAACATTACACGCTAAAGAATTTTTTTCTGATTCGGCGGTTCCTATAAAATGTTAACTCCCACTATCATTGATTCTTCATCTCTGTCGGGTCATATCCTTTGGAGTCCACCAGAAGCTTCGAATAGCATCAGAACTTCTCTTCATAAAAAAAACCAAAATCATCATCACGTAATATCCAGGCATCAACGAATTTTTCTTCAAAGGATTCATGGGAATGGCCTCTCACCTCTCATTAATATCGATAAGATTCGATACGCGAAGCAATTAAAAAATCAACACCGCAATGATTCACCAACTTCTTTACCCGATTCAAACATTAGTTCGAGGCAGATTGACGTGTCAAACAAATATGAAAGCTTGCCTTCTTACGAAGACTCTCCAGATGCAGAGGATAGAATAACTTGTCACTCAAACCATATATGTCAAAATCAAAATACTATCAATTCGGTGAATTTAAAAAATAGCAAAAAACTTCTACAGAAAGGTGAATCATCAGCAAAATTGAATAATAGAGATATTATTGTTTCAAAATCACAGACTCGACCGGTAATAAATAACACTCATCCGTTTAATCATCATCATCGAAAGAATGACTTGTGTAGCATTGGCTCTTATCTGACGTTATTATTGAATCAAAAGCCGAGTAGTTCTTTGTTTCATGGCGAACAGAATGAAAACAAAGTGGATAATTTTACTAATGCTTTTGGAAGCCTGATGTCTGTGCAAAGTCCTCCTGGTGATAAAAGAAGACGTATGATATTAGTTAATCCACCTTCGATCAGTACTACGCTGGGAAATATCAATATCAGTAACACGGGTCGCAACAGCTGTAACAAGAACAAAAACAACGTCGGGCCTTTAAATAATATATATTCGTTGTACGATATGGTTTGTCCAACGCCATGCGTATCGAGAAATTTTGATCTTTATTTTTCCGACTGTGATGAAGACAACAAAAGAGAGGAGAAGAAACTCCCGGGAGAAGGATTCGACCAAGAACATGAATACTATGAAATTTTTTATGATTATTTCGAGGAATCAGCATTACCCTCTTCAGCAATGTCGACTTTAGAATTCTCGATTAGATCGCAAAAAGTTACGTCCCCTATTTCTCCACTCAAGCTATGAAAGCCTATTGTAATCTAATGAAGGTAACTAAGGAATTCTGTGAGATAAATAGGTTTTCTTTTTTTAAAACAGATAATTATAATGACTTTATAGATTTTTATCTATTCAACTGTGTTTTATTATTAAAACTAAATGATTTTTCAATAAAGCCTTGTCTACCAATATACTATATTTGGACAATTCGGTGCCTAGCAAAATAATTTCAGATCCAAAAAATGTATTTACGACAAAGTTATAGAGACGCAGAGCATATTATGTGATTTATTGCGTAAATATATCTCCGATTCAATAAAAAATCTTTTTGGGCGTGATGTATACTTGCTCGCTCTGCCAGGTTTCTGAAGGTTGGTTCATTTCAAATGAAACGGTAGCTCATCGTTTGTTTCAATTACATTGCAGTTCATATGGAGAAAGAGATTGTTGTTTAGTTCATAAATACCTTACAAAAACCCAGTGAAAAAATATGATAAGACCTACTTTTCCAGGATTAGGCCAAGTTCATTAGTTTTGAATTGTGATAATATATTTCACTTGAGATCTGGACACTCTATTTATATTTATCTAAAATTGTCTCTATGGCACAAGTAATTCAATTCATGTTCCTTGGTAAAATTAGTTTTCAACTAGTTTCCAGATATATATAAGTTAACTACTAAATGTCAAATAAAAAGAAGTTCTTTAAGATAACCATCTGTTTTTCACTTTTGTATAAGAATAATAAAGTGAAATCTAATTATAATATGAATTGTTATTTTATTCAATACTGCTATTTATCAAAGTAAAAGGTTCAATTTCTTAAGAGAAGAAGTTAAGAAAGAAAGGAGATATACTATATATATAGTAGGGAACAAAAAATTGCATTTTTTCAAATATATTTAATTTAATAAAGAATTGTTTAAATTAAATCAAACTTAAAATATAAATACTTAAATACCTAAAAATTGATTTTACTTAAGACTATTTTAAAACTTTATTATTTTATATTTTTATTTTAATTAAAAAATTTTATATTATACACAAATTTTACAAACTAATTCATATAAATTTAACTTTTTAAATATAATTTTATATATAATTTATTATAAAACATTATATAACTAAATATATAAAATTTTTTAAAAAAATCAAAAACAATATTATTAAATAAATATAAATTATTTTATAAAACTAAAATATTTATATTAATATTTTTTTATATTTTTTAAATAAATAAATTCTAAATTATAATAAAAATTTTAGACAAATTTTTTTTACCTTCTACTGTAAATATATACAATATATTTATTTACTTATATTATATTCTATTTTATTAGACTAGTAAGTTAATGCAATAAGATATTAAATTTTTATATTTAAGAATCAAATTAACAAAAAAACAATAATTACTTTATTACTCTTTTTTGATATTTGAAATATTAAAAAAAATATTATAATATATTTTATTATAAAAAAAATAAATTATATTTATAGTATATACTGTATACTAATCTCTATGATTTATAATAAAATATATTTCATTCACTTTAATATAAAATATTACATAGTATAGTTATTTATTAATTTTATTTTTTTTTTTAACCTACAGTCAGGTTAGTATGGTGTGTCCTTATTGTATATATGCTAGGTATTTACAAATTTTGTGACTTTCACATACTGACTCACTTGTCGTCGAAAAATTATTTCTCTAAATGCAACCTAGGAAATAATATTTCACTCCTTTACTAATTTGAAATATTTCCTCTAATTAATAAATTTATTACCTATAGGTCATTACTGTAGATCATTCTAAGTTCTGTTTGCAGTTAAAAACCAAACCACTTTATTCTATGATAGATCCAATCCTTAATAATTGCTATATACTTCTTTTCTTTTATTTCTTTGATACCTTCTAGGCTTGAATTCTCTGGAGATAATGGCATTTCTTTTTGTTTCTGTTCAGTCTATTCGTTAAGTTTAAACTTGGACCTCTTGTTTCTTTTGTTCTCTTCTGTAATATTTTACTTCTTTTTCCATTCTATCACTTGGGCACAACAAGTATTTCAGATTTTTTTTTTAAAATTTGCTCTTATCTTTTGACAGAGTTTACCAATTATACCTTGTGTATTTGCTAGTGAGATCTTGGGCTGCTTTTTGAGGCACTTCTTTAAGAAAGTAATCTTGCTTTCTTCCATATATCCACAGATAATATTGAAAAGACCCCTGTCAGATTTCTGAATCTCTTCTAATCATTTGTCTGTCTAGTCACTTATCTTAGATTGATCTTCTTTCTTCTCTTTTATTTCTTTACTGATAAGTTTATTGAGCTTTTTATTTGCCTTCCTCCATAAGTTCTTCTGAGTTTCCCTAGCAAATGGGCATTCAAAAATATGTTCTAGTGTCTCTTCTTGAAGTTCACATACTGAACAAATGGTTGTGATATATACATCTGATTTTCTTTTCTTAAGTATCTATAGAACTGAAAGTTCATTGTAAGTTAAGTTAGTTATGAAACTTTTGTTTTTGTTGGTTTTGAAAGAGGTATCAAATGTATTGGTTGGATTGAACTAATTCCAAAAAGTCAGCCAGTCTATTATTTTATCATTTTGGATTCAAAGATCCTAGATTCATTTCTGTGTTGTCCAGTCTAGTTCAATTTTTTTCTTGTTGAACATCTTGATGAAATCTCTGATACCAATTTCTATTATGTATTCTTTCCATGCTGCTATTGTGAGAAATTTTTCTAGCTCTGATAACTGATGTCAAGTTATTGGATTCTCTTGTTTGGCCTGTTTAGCAAGTAAGTCTACTTGATTGTTAAATCTATTGGTTCTGTGGACTTTGACTTTTAGGATTTTTAGATTCAGGTCTTTCTTCTTTACTAGGTCCTTGATCTTATTCCAAAGTGACCAGTTAGTGATTTTTGTTCATCTTCTTGTGAATATTTCTATTTATGAACAGATGAATTTCCATACTTTGATTGCAGTGTTGCAGTCAATGTAAATTGTCTCTGTTGTATTTCGGGGGCTATATACAATACAGTGAGAATATGTAACGAATCCGCGCCTGCCCCCATCAATTTTGTGTAAGTATAAATAACTCTGTATGACTATGGACCCGAAGTCTGCTCTGTCTACTATTTTTGAACTTTCTGCATAACATCATCTGAGATCATCTTTAGTGATCCCGGGCTGAGTGCCTTTCATTATAGTCAATTTGTCTTGTTTCCCTAGAATAGAAATTAGTCCCATAAACAGTAGTAGCATGAACCAATAGATTTTTTTTATTATTATTATTTTTCTTCTTGTTTTTCTTTTTAAGTTATATTATAGCCCCATAAGTC